TGTTTATACTAATACCCATTTAAAAACATCTGAACAATGTTCATGCTGTTTTGACTGCTGAATTGGCTTATTCTGAATTTGCTATTTACTGAATGCTTCTATCATATAATTGAAACTCATGCATACATGAGGATGTTTAAACTTTAAAACAACCAAATACATACAGCCACTGTTAACCAATTTTAATTAAAACTGTTAACTGTTTAGCAGCTATAAAACAGGTCATTTCTCCCCCCTAAACAGAGATGTAGGTGCCTAATTTTGAAAATATTGATGTAGGACTAGAAGAACCTGCTGTTTACTTCTACTGTGATGCATTTACATGAGGTTCCATTCCATTTTATTTTAGACAATGTATGTTATGTGTATTTTGATATTAGGGGCCTGCTCAGGCCAACACTTATGCATGCAAATAAAGTTACAGTTGCAAGGACTACGGATAAAAGCTTCGTAAATCTAAGAATCAAGCAAAAAATACAATACTGTTCGCTAAACTATGCATCTTTCAGCCAGAAATGACTTTTTGCCCCCAGCCTTATAAGCTTAGTTAACATAATTTAATAGTATGTCTCCATGATATGCAGAAGTATGTGACACACATGCTTTGCTTTCTTTTACCTTTGTGAACATCGAAGGCCAACATCCATACTCCATGTGTTGAAACCATATTACTTAAATAGTGTCAAACTAAATTCTGTATTTCCTGGTTATTCACATCTCTCTAGTTAGCAAATAACTGTTGGCTATAGGAGTTCAGAAGTACTACATGTAGCACAGATTGTGTTTGATGCATGATTTTAAAGTATCAAGGATGTCAAACAATTTTATTTTAAACAGATTGTTCTGATTGCTTCCTTTCTTTGCCTGATTTACTACTGCATGCCCGAAGCAGGATAAAAAGGGCTTAATGGTCTGGCCTGCTGAAAAGCACACAAACACTCCATCAGAGTTGAATGATTTTAGAATAATTTTACTTTCCTTCAGTAACAGCCCTGGGAAAGGACAATTCTTCAGAATACACTAAATTAGTCTATAGGATATTTTAACTTATATGGCAATCAATTTGAAAAAATAACCAAAAAGTTAACACTTTATAAATTGTGTACACACATACACAAGTAAGATTAAATTTGCTATTTAGTATAATTTTGCTATTTACTGGGAAACTTTAAAATGCTTTTATAAATTTATTTCCAGGTGATAAAATGTAAAGTTGTAGATAAGGATAGCTATTCATCACCATGACTAGTGTTTATTATTGCTATAGCTGCCACTGCCATGCACTGTTTTACAGTCATTAGATTACATTCCTACAGATGGCTGAGATCCCAGCAAGTTATAGTCTCTGCCTCTAATCCTTGCAATGTGGAGGTAGCCAGCTGTGTCTATGCAGAGCCCCACTGCCAGTAATATGGGCTCTATGTATACTTAGAAGTCTGCCAATGCATTGTTCATTGCAGGACTGGCATCTGAATTGACAAGGCAACACAGAACAGCCCTGATATAGAGAGAGAGAGAGAGAGAGAAAGAAAGAAAGAAAGAAAGAAAAAGAAAATGGGAAGGGAGAATACATGTTACACAGAAATTCTGCCGATTTCTTCAGTAACTCCTGGTTTTGCACTTGGTTTCTTACTGAACAGAAAAATGCGTCTCCCACCTAATATTCCTGTTTAAGGGAAGAGCTGGGAACTGGAGGAGCAAGTGTTACACCAGGGCAGGGTAACAGAAGTTGTCTCAACCATCCTGCCTCTTACTCTCCTTTCTGTCTAGCAATGTACTGTTCCTCCCAATGGACAAAACCTTCAAACAGTTCTCAACCTTTTTAGACTCAAGGTACCCTCCATAACTTTTGTGAATTAAGTGGCACCCCATTTCAAATACAACAATATTTATTACAGTGCTTACCTGCTTGCAGAGGGGCCAGGCCATGTGGGCAAGGGAGCAGCCAGGCAGGGAGAGTCTAAGCCTGCCCTTATCTACTTTCCTTTTCACACCTCACTTATCTCCTCACAGTTCCTGTAGCATCCTTCAAAAGGCTGCATAGCACCCGATTGAGAATCACAGCCTTAGAAGCATAGGCAACTTGCCCTGAGATTGGCCCTCACTGGCCAGGGAGTGGGGGCACCAAGGTAAGTGCCAGCCGGTGCCCTGCTTGAGATTGGCGCCCGCTAGGGGGTGGGGGTGCCAAGAGAAACGCTGGTGGTACTTCTGGTTTTGCCTCCGGTGTTTCTGGGGTCAGCCATTGGCCACTGAGGGATGCCCCCCCGTCGGCAATCGGCAGCTGGTGCCCCTCCCAGACTTGGGAGGCACCAGTCGCCCTTGCTTAGAAGGCTAGTTCATCTATGTGGAGTATTCAAATGTGGACAGGTCAGTTTCCTGTGGTTAAAACAATTCTTGTGCAGCCCAGGAAAAAAGGATAACATTCCCTTTCTAGTCCTTTCCCACTGAAGATCATGTGGTAGAGCCCTTCCTCTAGCTAAAGGAAACTGGAGAGAGGCATTGTTTGTTAGAGGGGCTATTTAGAAGCAGTTAAACATCCCACCCAAGGAATGGAGACTGTTGGCTCCACAGTGTTCCCAGCCCAGAATCCAGAGAGCATTTGAGCTCCTGATCTCTCAGCTGCACATTGCATGGCTGTCTGGGAACTCAAGACTGGCTGTGTTGTAAATGAAAAAACTTCACGGTTCTGGATATACAACCTTCACAGTGAAGTCATAACTGAAACTATCCTCATGACATTTTTATCCACAAAAAAAAAAAAAAATCAAAGCTACATTTTCATACAATCTTGGTTTGTAAAAATTCCTATAAAAAAAAATATCACCCTTGGCTGAAATTTGTTGCCTTTATTAAAGAAGATGGATATCAAAAAGTCTCAGCCCCGCACCTAAAGTTTGCTTAGTTGTAAGTTATAAAGATACAAATTTGTCTATTAATTCACTCATTTTATTATTTAGAAAATAAAATATTGCATATAGTAATAGGACTTTTATCTATGGTGCTTTCTCTATAAAAGTAAGGCTGACTAGTTGCTTGACAATCAGCTACTGACTATATATATACAAAAACATAAAAAACATGTGTCTTAAATATTAAATCGTGTTAAAATTACCCCATACTGATAACTGATCTAAGAAGCCACTGTGGTTTCGCAGACCCATATCTTGAAAAAATTTTGACTGAGGAACTTACACAAGAGCTGGTAATGACTCTTGAAGGAGATCATACTGTCTGCAAATAAGTTGTTTGTTTTTTTAATAAAATGCAAACTGTGAATTTACATGGTAAACTACATCAGCCCCAAAAGAGCCAGTATGATCTACTATGTACATGAAGCAAGGTGTCAAAAATATTTAATATCTATTTACATATACTAGCAACCATGCCTCCCATCAGTGAGACAATTTTAATGAGGCCAGAACAAACAAGCCACAGGCCATATTATGTAATCTTAAAAATGGGATTTCACTCTACAAAGGCAAGAATATTCAGAATGAGAGCCAAAATGTATCTAGCCACCAAGGACCGTACTTTGGTATTGCAAGTGCTTTAGAATCATATATAAATAGATTTTATATAGGGTGAACATATGTCCTGGTTTGCCTGGGACAGACCCAGATTTTGAACGTGAAAATTAAAATGAGAGTCTCAGAACTGCAGAGGTACGGGGCGTAGTCTGACAGGCAGGGGGAATGGCATGGTGTGCCAGGCAGCTCCACCTCCCCGCTGAACTGCACCTGCAGCTCTGACCGCAGATCTCTGCCACTGCCTGCAGCAGTGCCACTGGCTTGTGGGGGTGGAGGGGGGTGTCCCAGATGTCCTGGATTTCTTTATGGTCATCCTAACCACATACCACTGGCACAGGGTGATTTAAGGACACCATGTCAGAGTTAACTTCACAGTTAAGTGTAGTATGATAAATGTAGTACCAAAACATACATAGACCTTTGCATTTTAAGCCAAACTCCAATTCTTAGATATAATCTCATTTTCTGTAAATGTAGTAGTCTCCATATTCTGACTTATATACTATAATTTAATTTAACAATTTAAATCATTTGATAACTTTTATTAAATTTAAAAAGAACATAATGACAGATATTATGTATTTATCTCTGTGTGACTATATCATAGGCAATGACAGTGCAACCTGTTATTAAACACTTGCCCAATATATCCCATTAAGAATCTGTTTTCAGTTTACCTGTAACTTTGCCAAATTTCAACTACAGGTATTAGCTCCAGGCACATTTATTTGGAAAATGTCATCCAAAACACTTTGGCCATTAAAAAAAAAAAAAAAAAAAATCAGACTAGGAGAAAATGCATTGTTTTGCCCACATTAAAACATTCTTTTTTTGTTTTCACCTTTTCTTTCAGAAGCCTTACTGCTGCTATACTTTGAACTAAAGACTTGAGACATGGCAAGAAATGACCATTCTTCTGAGCTCTTCAGTTTACAGGTCACATGCTATTTCTTTCAGAAGACATAATTGCAACAGTGTAAGTAGCAGTGGGTGAGCGAGGCACCAGCTCTGAGCACCATCTTAAAGAGGGGGCAAGAATGGCAGCTCTTACTGATGATCCAGTCACTACAGCTGCCCAGGGCAGAAAATTTTCTAGTTTATCATAATGCATGAATAGGAAGCAGCTGAATTAAAAGTTCTTTAAACACGTTTCTCATGTATCCCCTCACAGATAGTAATACCAGTAAATGTGTTATTTTCATTTTGAGACTATAGTATTAATACAAATGGTTTTAGATACGAATAACTTGGGTAAAATTCTAAAATATCAAATTTTCTGTTGACTTTTAAATTTACATTAGGCTAAGAAGCTTATGAAAATGGAAACTGGATGCTTTTGAAAAGTGTACTGAGTAAAGCTATAACATTTTGAAACAGTCCATTGTTTAAAGCTGAACTTAACATGGCAGAGAGCCAAAGCAAAAAAAGCAACGATTCAAAAACCATGCCCAATTAGTGAAAACAAAATTCATATAAGCTTTTCTTCTTTTTTATTTAGAAAGAAAAAATAAAACTAATGTTTTTGTCTAGCAATCACTGACATGTATGGGGTGGTATCTTTTCTGAAAACAAATGTTTTTATAATCCCATCAAAATAAGCTTCTTCCTTTGGCCATAAGTACAAAGCCTACTGCTTGTTTGAGGCCATGTCTGTTTAAGGCAGTCACTGGACTTCAGACTTAGTAGAAGATGAAGCTTCAAAGACATCATCTTCAACACTTTCTTCTATCGGTTTCATTTTTGCTGAAGTTCTCATGTAGGGAGATGCTCGGCCTGCCGCAATTTCAAAGAAAAGAGAAAGTTAAACTGAAATACACATACTGTTTTTATATATATGTGATAAAACAAATATGGCAGGTCTGATGATCTGCCTGAACATTAAGAAATCTAAAGTAACACCAACTATACCAGGAACTGAGTATTTTCTCAGGGAAATGTAATGCATCTGACTTTGGTACTCAGTCTTCTAGATGTGAAGTACCAAAAGGAGGTATGAATCATTATCACCTTTGAGGACCAAAAGTTTCAATCTATACTTTGGGAAAACTCCCTTTGAGTTTAACAGAAGTCTTGCCTGACTAAGACATATAAGATTGGGTTCTTGGCAGTACTGTAGTATTCAGTAATTTGCCTGAAAAAATAATGGTTGGGTTGAAGGAATAAAGCCCAAACAGTATTGGATCTATTACCAGCAGTCATAACAAAATTCTTAAATTCACTGGGAGAGATCTCAGCTGGAGTAAATGGTCATAGCTTCACTTCTTAAAAGATCATGAGATAAAATACACTAAATGGTAGGGTAACATTCAGTAGCTAAACACCTGCAATAAAAAGAAGAGGGGCATTAACAACTTTGGCCCTATAGCCAATAACTGAAATGGTTTCAGCGCTCTAAGAGTCTTCTGACAAAGCAACAATTCATAATGCTTTTTAAAACGGAGCACACACAAGTCTTAAAACAGAATACACAATCAGACGTACCCAATTGTTTTGTCCAGAAAAACAAAACAAAACAAAAAAAAACTTCAAGGTTTCACCTATATGAGCATTTATTGTACAGTGAAATTTTCACCCTGGAGATTTAATCACAAAATTGCCTTTAAAATTAGTCACCTAGGGATATTCCCATGGTCTGTTCAGAAAATTGTGTTTAGCTCCCTGTCTTCTTTGGATTCCCTCTCTAAAAGTTTAGCCCTACACTCACAACTGGAGTACAAGTATATAAACAGCTTGCATACAATAACTGAAAACAGTAAAAAAGTATTTTAAAGATGAAAATATAATCCTAAAAGAAAAATGGCAAGCAGCACACGGTCATGACAGCCAGAGGGCATCTCAGTATATGTTAAGAATAAAAACATTTATCTTAAAAAATCCTTGCAGTTGTAACATATGGTTAGAAGTGACATTCTTGGTATAAAAATTACTTCGACCGATCACGTATGCAATAAAACTCAATTACTTTTACTACCATATCACCAGTGAGCTCTTGTCATGGTCCTGAACTCCCTGGTGCTACATATTGTACAAAGAACAAAGAAGTATTCTCTCCTCCCAAGGAGCTTGCATTCCAAGTATAATGTTTTGTAGTACAGTGTTCAGATTTACAGTTACACTCATGCAAACACTGATAGGTATTAATTAGTGGTTTTAGTGTATTAAATATTACATATTTTTATGCAAACGTTTATGATTTTAACAAACTACTTAATTAGCTGTCATGCAGAGATAATTATGTATTTTATTAAACATGAGGCTTACTAAAGGCTGCTTTCATATACTTAGTTTAACAGGTAAAGTTTTGGGGTGCAGTTTAGTCCACGTAGATTTCTAAATCCAAAATCTGTGGGTATGGTTGTGGATTAGATATCCAAATGCCTAAACAGCAGATGCAAACTGTATGTATAAAAATGGCCACCTGATAATTTTGGCTGAAAGTTTCCATTTCTTTTTTAACTGCTTATATAAGTATAGATTATCTAAGATAATGCTCCATTGTTTCAGCTAGATGAACAAATTCCTTAGGGGGATCACCATCATGTTAAGGAAATTACTGATAATTCTAGGGCTGAGCAAAGATTGAGATGCTTTACCTTAGAAACATGGAGGCAGGAGCCTGCAGAACAGGGTTGGGAATCTGTCTTAATACTGTAAAATTGTTTGGCCCCAGTGAACGTCTTTGCTTTCTCCAAACACTGGAAAATCTCTAGGGCATGCTCCTAGCCTTTGTTAGCCAGATGTGCAAGAGCCTTGGCTCAGCCCTGAACCTGGGCCTCCCATACACTAGTCTCTTGCACTGTCTCCAGGTCCTAAAGTTCAAATGCCTATTAAAAAGGCATTTCCTGTGAAACCCTATCCCGCTTTTTAACCACATTCTGGGTACTGCATATAAAAGTGCACATACTATGGTAACACCAATGAAAGCATTACCAAAAATAAATCCTTCTACATTCCTTCTTAGTTTAGAAAGTTGCAAATACAGAATTCAGAGAAATGAGCAAAGTGCTTGAATTAATTAAACCAGATACCAGACAACAGAGACTACAGCACCCTGCATAATAATTACTTTTAACCATCAGCATGCTTATTTCGTAGTACTAAACACATTGAAAGAAAAAATTAGCTGAAATTATGTCTGCTCCAACCCAAATTATTTTGTACTTAACTTATATTTTGAAAAAGAGAAACATTAAATTTTCATTCACTAGAAAGTTGTGCGCAGATGGATCATATAGTTCAAGTCCAAGCATGAACACATCGTGAACAAACCCCACTTTAATACCTTTTTGAGGATGTTGCGTTAATATATGATCTTATCAACAGAAAGCATCGTGCTGCATACGACCCACTCCACAAGCATTATAGAACTCTTGTTGGTTATTTCCTTAACATAAGAGCAAACAGTTAGGGTTTATTTTAGTTAATTAAATTCAAAACACAGTTCTATTAATAAGTAGTTATTTTTTTATTATTATTATTATTATTATTATTATTATTATTATTAAGTAGTTCTAGTAATAAGTATGTTTTCCTCCTTTCTGCTAAAACACTAGGAAAATACCCATAAACACATTTCTTAGAAATTAATTAAAGAGTTTGTATTTTGGAATACCACAGGAAAACTATAATCTAAAGAAAAATACTTTTAACTCCATCAAAAGAAGAAATTTCAATTTTTGTGAGTATAAAGTACTTGGGAGAGTAGGATTTTTCTACATTGTAATAATCAAATATAATACAAATCTATGTACTGGGAAGCTTTAGCCCACACAAGAACTTGTCACATAATAATGAGTTATAATTTATGCAGAGCCTTATTCAAAGCAACTCTCTTTTATTGCTATCTCCTAAGGCAGAAGATATTTTTCCTGCTCCACTTCTCCATATATTCTGGGTTTTGTTTTTGTGTTTTACTAAAAAACTATGCTTCAGACTGAAAGGAACTGAAAATATTGGTGAAGTATGCCTTAACATGCATGTCCAACGGAGTAAAAAAAAACAACCAACACTTATTGATTATACTTCACACACAGAATCTGCTATATGGCTATTTAAAATGTAACAGTGGGAAGCTGAATGGCCACAATTTTGCTCATGTTGTTTTTGAAACCTGCAGATTCAACTGTGGTTCTCTATCAAACTAGCCTTCAGGCAGTGCTAATTTCCAACAGTGGAACTGTGTCATAAGAACACGTTATTTAGGAGTAACAGATTGCACAACTACTCCAGGCAAAGAGTTTAATTCCCTGGAAGCACTGCAGATCAATGAAACAACTAATCCCCTTCTATCACTCTGGGAAGCTCAGGCACCATGTTAATCAATAAGCAAAAAATAATTGTTGGAAGAAATTATATTGAATAGAAGGAGTACAACAGATAAGAGGGCTTTATCAAGTAGTGTTAAACACCAGTTCACCTTATACAGAATAATACAATTATTTCTGAAATAGATGACCATTTAGATTGGTTTCTCCCAAAGCAGAAATACTGGTCTAAGCATTTTGCAGTTAGTTCTGCAAGCGAATTTCGGTTTTAGCTAATTGCTCGTGACCTTCTCTCAACTGCCCAAATACAATCATGCAATTTCTTTCTTAAACTGGAGAAGTAGTGACACGAGAGAGAATTCAGACATTAATGTAGGTCAGTGCCAACAATCAGGCCTTTCTAGAAGATATATAAAAAGGGATATAAAGAAAAATAAATCTGACTTGCAACTAACACCAAAGGGTGCCTATACATGAGCAGAGAGACTGCTCTGACATGCTGTAATTCCCATGTGTCAGAGCAAACTCGATTAAATAGAGTCTGCTGGAACATGGCAATTACTGCGCTCCAGCAGCCTCCTGTTTCTCGTGTATGAGTATTCCCATGCTTCAAAATGGTGGTGGGGGAGCTTTATCTAAAGCTTGTTGAACACACCCCCACCACCATTTTGAAGAGCAGGGACACTGATACATGAGATGCTCCAGGTGCTTTAATTAGAGCGGCTCAATGCCCTGCCTCCACCCATGCGCCAGGAAGAGCTGGGGCTGTGCTGGTTGCACAGTAGTGGCAGCACTGGGAGTGGTGCTACAGCAAAATGTGGGGTGGCTGCAGCCCGCTCCGTAGCCCCCACCCTAAGCCCAGTCTCCACCAAGAAGAGCCCAGCGCAGCCCCAACTCCAGCCCACCTGTCCCGCCCAAATCCGGGGGCAAATGCCTCCCCCCCCACCACCCCCGCCCCACCCCCACAATGAGCCACAGCTTCATCCTGTCCTGCCCTGCCCCAGATGGGCAGTGCCTGCATCTGCCCCCTACCTCAACATGAGGGGTGCTGTTATGCCCCCACCCCAGGTCCCTTCCCTCCCCCCTCCCCTTTCACAACGGACTTACAAGCTGCACGCAACTCTCCACACTGCCGGGCTCTGCTCCTTGCTGCCTGCATGTTGGGCATTGGGCTGATTTCCGATATAGCCAAATTTCTTTATATCAGTACCGATCCAATATTGGACCAACGTATGTATTATCATCACTTTCTCATAAATTGGTATTAGATATCTCAAAACTTTATTACAGCCTTTTGGTGTCAGTAGCTACCATTCAAAAATCAATATGCACCGTCTCATAACTTTCCTATAGCTTGATAAAAAAGCTGACTAACAAAAAAAAGGTAATACACAAAGTGTTCCTGTTCTGCTTGCACTGAAGTCAATAGGAATTCTGCAATTATTAGAGAGGCTGCACCCAAAATGTGTATCTCTTGTTTTGGAGACTCACGAAGAGAAGATGCAGAGGAAGTCCCACGAAGAAACTGCTGCAAACCATCCTCACTGTCACTTGAGCTAGCCATACTGTTTCTCATCTGCATCACAGAGAGCTGAGAGCAAAGACTTGGCTGCCGATCCATTTGCTTTGATGTCTGAATTAAAAAGAAAGAAAAAAGTTTAACATATACAAAGTGCATTTTAAAGTAAGAAACAGAGTAAAGCAACTCCTACTTCCTTACTAAACTCACTGGGTTCAAGTATGGCTATGAAAGTTGGAGGTGTGCTGAGGCAATGGCTTTCATACACAATACACTTAAATATAAATGATTTAAAATCAACATTTATAATTGTGATTTAAATCAGCAAGCAAAAGACCATGATTTAAATAAGTGATTTTTATGATTAACTAATGTTACAAACTGGCCCTTATTTTCCTAAATACAGATTAAATGCATCACATAAACACCAATCTTTCTTGATCTCAGGATCTTCTACTTGCTTCGGCTGAGGTGATTTTGGACTTAAATATTTATATTTACATTTTACATTCTTAAATATTACAGTATATCTCAATAATGTGTTAGGTGCGTGTATAAGAGAGCAATTAATGGCAATTATGACTCACTTCTATTACATTTTTAGTGTTTGCAAATTACTAAGTGTTTCTCATAAAATGGATAATGTATCATCAACTTCCCCACTAGTAATGAAGATACTTTCAAGAGCTAATACACATTTATATTTGTACATTTGAGACTGCATCCCATCCAGAGCGACATGTAAACTATCAAAATGAAGGGAAATTCTTTGACTGATGTCTTGGTTTACCTTGCCTAAGAAGGGCTTGTGTTTTAAGACCCAATTTTGAAAAAGAGAATTAAAAAAAAATTCTAACATTTAACTTAAATTGTTTTTGTAAACATAATAGACATATGTATGTTGAAATCAACAGGGATTAGGTCCCTAAATTACTTTGCATAACTGGACTTAAGAGTGTAATCCTGTAGCTCTTGCTAGGTCTGATGCAGCAGGGGGCAGTATAGGCACTGCTATATTGCTACAAAACGCTGCAAAATTTTTCCTCAAACTATTCTTGCTAGTCTATACGGAAGCAAAATACAGAAAAACCACTGCTGCTAATACTTGCAGAGGGAAACCCACTGTATAGTATCAGTAGCTGGTTTTCATTGTGGACTATTTCCCATTAAGTTCACAACTTTGATCACAGCAATTGTAATATAACCCATTTAGGAGATATTTTCTTTTATGAACAAGCTGAGGAAAAGGACTCTCTCATCTAATAAATCAGAGTGGATTAAAAACATGAAATCAGATCTGAAAAGACTAACCAGCACTGTCACTCAACCTACTAATAATTGGAATATTTATGCAGTAGAAGGCAAATGCTACTTAAGTAAATTGTTTGTTGAAACTCTGCAGTGACTACATAAACAAAAATCACCATAAACCATGTAAGGAGATGGAATGTAAGCCAAACAAGATATGAATGTCTGAATTTACACTAGAAACTAAATGGTTGGATTCCACAAAGATTGGTCTCCCAGACGTGTTGTAGCTGAAATGAGAATTGGTCTTACTAGTCACCTGAAAGGACTTTGGGTGCCTAAGTTTAAGACACAGGCAGACAAGGTTCTTTGGGTAAATGTGATATATTTTATTAGACCAACTAAATCGTTGGAAAAAATCATTCTTTGCAACTTTCAGGCACAAACACACTTCTTCAAGCAGAGGGTGTCTGCTGGTGTTTTGTGTTCTCCTGGATGGAATAGAAGCCAATGTTAAAAATGCAGGTCTGTGAAAATGCAAATGCATGTCAGTGAGAATCAGAGGCCATGGGAGACAATAGGTGTGCGACAGGTGCGGGGGAAGGAGAGAATGTTGACCTGGTGACAATGTAGCTGGTCAACTGTAGAGAGGTTACCTGGGGTTAAGTTCAAGATAGGGATTCAAAAACAAAACAAACAAAAAACAAACAAAAAACTAAACAAAAAAACCAAAAAAACAAAAAAAACCAGGGCAGATATTGTTTAAACTTAGAAAGCACCTAAACTTGCTAGGCGCCTAGCGCCCACCTAAACCTGACCTGAATCCAAAAGATAAGTGACCCAGCCTCTACGTCCCTTGGGAGACTTGATCTGGTAAGTATGCTCAGAACATGCCTATCACACAGTATTGGGTTCTGGCCAAAGCACAGCAGTCCTGGCCAGTTTGACTAGCGACAGACGTTACATATAGACTGGTTTAAGTGATTAGAAACTGGTTTAAACCTGTAACAGAGCAGAAGCTCAGTGCACATAAACCAGTTTCAAAATGGCCAAAACCAGTTTGAGATAAACCTGGTTGAATGTAGTATCAGACTTAACTGATTTAGGTCAAATTGGTTTATGGAACTTCTGTCCCAGACCCCTTCCTGGTTTAAGTTAAATCAGAGTCCCCCAGCATCCCAGCATGCTCTGCAGCCCTGGGTGGGGCTGTGCTCTCTGCTTCAGAGGAGGAGGGCTAGGCCTGCCCCACTGCTCCCTAGCTGGAGCACAGGGGGCCCAGCCAGACAACAGCCCCCCCCTAAGGTGAAAGGGGCAGGGAAGAGGTTTATTCCCTCCTCCCTCCCCTGTCCCACCATCACAGACCTCAACCACGGTCTGACTGGCAGAAGCACAGCAGTCCCTGCCAGCCATTTCTTCACTTGCTGCTCCAGTGCAGGGGTGTGGTCAGCCCCAGCAGTAGCCTCAAGTGAAATGGCAAGGAGGGGTTAATTCTCCCCTCCCTGTCCCACTGGCATGAACCTGAGCTGGGGTCTGCCTGGTGCTCCCCCCTCACTGCTGCAGCAGATGGGGTGGGTGTATGGCCAGAGGCTGGCCAGCATGGCCCCCTGAGGCAAAGGGGGCAGGGAAGGGGTTTATTCCCCCCTCCGCCTCCTCTGCTCCTGGGGCACCACAGCCAGGGTCTGCCAGCTCTGACGGCTGCCTCCACTGATTGATCCGAGTGGGGTGAGTGGTGGAATAAGCTTCTTCCCAGGCGCCTGTGGTAGGGGCGGAAACCCCCTCTCTGCCTCCTTCAAAGGGGGCCATACCAGCTGTCCTCTGGCCATGCCTCTATGCCCACCCCTGCTCTTCGAAGACTGCACAGGGCAAGCAGCAGCACTGGGGCTTAGAGGGGTGGCCATACCCCCCAGAACCCCCCTAGAGTCACTGCCACTTGCCCCACGGTCTGCGGTAGCTCTGCCCACCCCACTCCTGCCCGCAGTGCAGTCTCCCCACCGGAAAGAGGCTTGCACTCCTAGGAAACAATGACAGGGAATGCTGATCCATGAGGGTCGCTCCCCACTCACCACTCCAGTGGCAGGGGTGTGGGCACGGCCAGAGGCCGGCCAGCACGGCTACCTTAGGTGAAGAAGGCAGGGAGGGGGTTATTTCCCCCCTCCCTCCAGTGTCTGGTGGAGGGGGGAGGGAAGGAGCTTATTTTGCCGCTCGCCCTTGCCCAGGAGGGG